GGGGGGGGGGGCGCTTAGGGTTTAGGGTAGCACGCTCAAGCATGTCTTACCTTAAAGCTCTTGAAAAATATAACAAAAAATCTGCTTTGAGGCTCAAGGTAACTATGACTATATGAGAAGTTCTGCGAACCCAAACTAGTACGGCACCCATATAAAAGAGACCCTAAAGGAGACCTTAATTTAGAGAGCTGTCCATCCCAAGTCCCCTGCCCCTCCCAGTAAGCAGGCAAAGCCCTAAACGGGGAGGCTGCAAAACACAAAACATCTGCAGACCTGGGATGAGTCTGTTCCGCATGAGGAGGAGACAACCCTAAACCCTAATCCCTAAACCCTTAAACTCACAGCTTCAAGGCCTTTGGGTTTGGAGCTCAGGACGAAACCCGCATCACCAAACCCGTTATCCCACAGTCCACAACCCCGAAGCCTGAGATTTAGGCTTTAGGGTTTAGGGTTGAGGGTTTAGGGTTTGAGGTTGACGGTTTAGGGTTGAGGGCTTCATGCTGTCGCGAAGCTGCTAATGGCGGTATTGTTTGTTGCAGTATGACTTGGGGATGAGCAGAGTGAAGCCGACAATGATACCCGAAACGACCTAAACCGTTAAGGCCCAGCGCCCTAAATCACAAACCAAAAAACACCTAAAAGCCACTTAGAATAGGGTTTTGGGGGTTCCTTACTATATTAGGGCATAATTTACCCCCAAACCCTATTCTAATTATTAAGGCCCCTATATTAAGACCACCCTCTGCTCGGTCCTCTTATAATACCCATTAACAACCAGCCTTTCCCTAAACCCATCTACAACCATATAAAAACCCTGAGACCACCCTCTGCTCAACCTTGTAGGTCTTCAAGTTGTTCGTCTTCGCGGTCTGCCGGAGCTTAGAGCTCGTGGCTTCAACGGGTCTACGGGTTGAGGATTGAAGGGTCCAGGGCATAAATTTCTTGGGCGTGGGATGTACAGTTTCCGTAAACCCTAAACCCCTAAACCCTAAACCCCTACAGCCCTAAAACACAATTAGTTTCCGGTCCTAGGGTTTCGAAGGTGTGGAGTTAATAGATGGCTTTGGAGTTGAGGGTTCGGCGCTTGAGGGTTTAGTGCCCGGCATCATCATGGTCATGGCCACCACGATCACCATGATGACCACCACCGCCATCATCATCATTACCATCATCACCGTCATCATCATCAGCGTCATCCTCATCATCCTAAACAACAGTGATCGCAAATATCAGTATGCACATGTAAATGTATCACCGTCAGCATCGGCACCATCATCACCAGTACGACCATGACCATCATTGTTGTTTCTATTGGCTGATCCATCTGACTATAGCAGTGATCAGTTCGTGTGCGCATCCAAATATGGTAACTGTTTGCATGCATGCATGCACGTAGAGGTGGCAGGTAGGTAAGCAGGCAGATAATATGTCGGTCACAACTCTCTTCGTTTCCAAGGAACCTTTGGGAGAACCTCTTCATAAGCTTGCTCAATGAGTACGGGTATTTTGGGATGAAGACCCTGAAGACTCATGTTCCGTCCGTCTCACTCATGAAGTCGTCTGTGGACAGGGGCCACAAGAAGTCCACTATGTCAATCCCAAAGGGCTTTTTTGCTCATGCTCTCAGACGACATGCAGGCCATCATGAAGCCGGTCAAGAAGCCCTTCTTGTTCTTCATCGGCAAAACTCTCAAGTAAGATTCCGTGAAGTCGATCCCTTCGCTGTTGTATGGCGGGCTCATTGTCTTGTACTGGGACATCAACGGGTCAATTTTTAGGAAGCTCTCCCTGGTAAAGATATCTTAAAACTTGATCAACACCTGGTTCTCCTGCTGGTTCAGTCTGAAATAACTTCTCAACGTTCTCAAGCAGGACTACGTCTTGTGGGTCAATTCCACCCGGACCTGGGTTTTCTTATAATTACTCTGGCCCGCTCTCAAACCTTCGACTGGTTGATCCTGCACCATAGAATCCGCAGACTCGCAGCGTCAGTAATGTAGGCTTCAATCCTTTCTGCAACTCCCACTCAAACTCCAAGCTTGAAGCATTCGACTGGGGTTTCACGGTTGCTATACTAGAATCATGATACTAGTGACCGCCTGGTACTGATGATTTTTCTGACCGTGCACCCTGAACCCTTGACCCCAAAAAGTGCGAAGCCATAAACCCTAAAACCCCCCTCGAACCCTGATCCTGAGCCATGCAGCCCTTGCCCTATCACTAAACCTAAAACAAAACGAATTCCCTACAAGATCCTACAAGCCTCAGACCCTAAACCTTAAAACCCAACTTGCCAGAACCTTGAAATTAAAGGAAGCCTTAAGGGAACCCCCTAACCCCCTCCTTGCCTTCTGAATTCTTCTCTCTACCTTTGTGCCGGCTGGAGGTCGAAGAGGGAAGGTGTTTTTATGGGCTGTTTAAGGCTTAGGGTTGAGGAGGGTTCCATTTGGCTTGCTAGGGTTTTATGGGG